AGCAGCAGTGGCTACGCATGCAGCAGCAGCATCAGCAGCAATCTCTGCAGCTAAAAAACCTAGAAGAAACGCTCAGACAGGGAGAAGCACCAAAGGTAATGTGGAAGCAAGCGGGGGCGCTGCTGCAGCAGCAGCAGCAGCTACACCTGAAGCAGCTAGGCTACATACATCAGCAGCAGAGAGAAGTAGTATTAAAGATGCATGCGCAGCAGCGGCAGCAGGTGGAGCAGCAGCAGCAGCAGCACCTGCAGCAGCTACCTAACTCTAAGCTTCGCGTTGAGCTATCGCTGCATCACGAAACCATAGACAGGGTGCTGCAGCAGCATCAGCTGCTGCAGCTAACAGCTCTTATAGATACGCAGCAGCAAGAGCAGCAACTGCTGCTGCAGCAGCAGCAGCAATTCACAAACTCTGCTGCAGCAGACTCTAACCACCAACCCCACAACAAAAAGGAGTTCTGCCGCGCCATGCGGCTGCTGTCGCGGGGGGCCTTCGTACAGACAGAGCTGCAGCAGGAGGACGAGCAGCAGCAGCAGCTGGAGCTGCTGCTGCAGCACCTGCTACCGCAGCATCCGCAACAGCAGCAGCAGCAGCAGAAGGAGCAGCAGCAGCAGCAACCCGTAGCCCCCGAGCAGCAAAAAAAAACAAACGCAGCAGCAGACGTGTTGCAGCGGCTGCAGCGGGTGCAGCAGCAGAGTACAGCTGAGGATCGAGCTGTGCAGCAGCAGGAGAAGGAGCAGCACCAGCAGCAGCTGCTGCTGCTGCAGCAAGCAGAAGAGCGCGGGGTGCTGCAGCAGCAGCCTGAAGCCAGCAGCAAGCAGCAGCTCCTCAGCAGCATCGTCGGCCTCATGCAGCACCAAGAAGACCTCGACGTACAAAAGGAAGAGCTCATACGCCTAGCCACGCAACAGCTACAAGCACACGCAACCACCAGCAGCAGCAGCAGCAGCAGCAGCAGCAGCGGCAGCGGCAGTAGTAGTAGTAGTAATGGTAGTAGTGGTAGCAGCAGCAGTACGAGCTGCGGAGACAGCAGCAGCAGCAGCAGCGGCAGCAGCAGTACTACGAACAGCGGCGTCGCCAGCAGCAGCAGCAGCAGGAGCAGCAGCAGCAATACCGAAGGCAGCAGCAGCAGCAGCAGCAGCAGCAATACCGAAGGCAGCAACAGCAGCAACGCCGCCATTGTCAGCGGCAACAACGACAATGGAAACATCATGAACACGGATGTCACCAGCAGCAACATTGACGACAGCTGCAGCAGCAGCAGCAGCAGCAGCAGCAGCCGCAGCAGCAGCGAGGGTATTATGAGCAGCAGCAGCAGCAGCTGCGCTGATAACAACAGCAGCAGCAGCAGCAGTCCCACCGACAATCAATGCGCCAACGCCCTCAGCAACACAGGCACTCTGAGTAGCAGCACCCCGCATAGCAGCAGCAGCAGCAGCAGCAGCAGCAGCAACGGCAGCAGCAGCAGCAGCAGCAGCAGCAGCAGTGAAAAAAGTGGCATGGAGGTGACAGCAGCTAGAAGAAAGAGAGAAGGTTATTCTGTTTCTTTTGGTGGTTGCTGCTCACGCCCTGTTGCTGCAGCAGCTGGTGCTGCTGCAGCAAGACTATCAGAGGCAGCAGCAGCAGCAGCAGCAGGACTAGCAGCAATTGCTTCTCGCTATGCTGCGTCCGTCGAAGAGGCATCAAAGAAAGCTCTGCTTGAGCAGCAGCAGCAGCAGCAGCAGCAGCAGCAGCAGCTGCTGCTGCTGCAGCAGCAGCAAGAACAAAAAAAACGAGAAGAAGAAGAGGATGGTTGTGTATACACCCCCACATCAGCAGAAGCAGCAGCAGCAGCAGCAGCAGCAAACGAAAAGCAACAAAGACTGTGTCGAGGAGAAATAACAGCAAAGATGGTGTTGCTGCTGCAGCAGACAGATGCATGTCTTTGCATGCCTCGTATAGATACAAATTTATTTATTTATTTAATAAAATATATATTGCCTGCTGCTGAGCATGGAGAGACAATAAGAGAGCTGCAGCGGCAGCAGCAGCAGCACAAGCTGCTGCTGCTGTCTGTAGAAAGTATAAAAAAACAAACAGAAATGCTGCTGCACTCGCACCCGCATGCACTCACTGAGTTAGCTTCAATAAGACAAAATACACAAAACAGAGATATGCAGGAGCTCGTTCGTTTCAGCTGTATAGACACCAAAACTGCTGTGCTGCAGCTAGCTGCAGATACACTCCAACTACTAAAAAAAAAAATATATTACAAAGACAAACACAAACACAAACACAAAGACAAAGACAAAGACAAAGACAGCAGCAAAGACAAAGACAAAGACAAAGACAAAGAAAAAGACAAAGACAGCAGCAAAGACAAAGAAAAAGACAAAGACAAAGACAAAGACAAAGACACAGCAGCAGATGATATAATAAAAACTTCCTTACAAAATATTTTAATACAAGGAGAGCAACAACAACCCCACCAACAAACACACACAAAAACAACATATACAGAAACTAACTGTCTCCTTAGGGGCCTATATACACCTCTCTCTCTCTTTGCTGCTGCTTCTGCTGCTTCTGCTGCTGCTGCTGCTGCTGCTGCTGCTGCTGCTGATGCTCTTCTCTATGGGCCCCTCATCCGTCCCCCCCCACACCGCCAGCTGTCTCCTCCTCCTCCTGGTGTTGCTGCTGGTGAGTTCTATTGGGCCCCCCTGCATGGGGCCCCCCCCCCCACCAGCGTTTGTATAGAGACGATACAGACACAGATACAGAGATATATAAAGATATATATAAAGAGAGAGAAAGAGAAAGAGAGAGAGAAAGAGAAAGAGAGAGAGGGAGAGGGAGAGGGAGAGAGAGAGACAGAGAACAAATATATCTGTCTCCTTATACACCAACTGTCTCCTTTGTCTTCTCCCCCCTACAGCCCCGAAACTATACACAACACATGCAAATGCAAGACAGTCTAGATGCCTTGGTGGGGGCTATTCCTGCTGCTGCTGCTGCTGATGCAGCAGCAGCAGCAGCAGCAGCAGGAGCAACAACAGCAGCAGCAGGACGTGGAAGCAGTTCTGCTGCAGCTGCTGCAGCAGAACGTATACAGTTCAGAGGGGGGGGGGGGCCCCCAAGGCAGCAACGAAGGGTATATGGGGGGGGGCCCCC